GCTATTACTACGTTGAAACTGACCGAAAAGGCGAAACGCAGTTACGTTCTTTGCATTTCGATTCATGCTAGCGTGTGACCGTTTGTCCTAGTGTTGCAGTTTCCAGGTGCGCGAACGGTGTATCTCCGCCGCCGACTTCTCTCACGGTGATAGCACCGATGCATCAAATTGCTGCAAGCGCTGCGCAAAGGCGATGATGTCGACGGGCCAATGTCAAGCCTTGGTGGACCGAGGCAGAGGCCACCGGTACGCAATATTATACTGTGCCCGTTCGCGGCTCAAGCTGTGAACGTCGGCCTTCTGCGTCGCTGAAGCGCAGTGTGGTGTATGCATGAGCATTGGCGCCGGTTACCCCTTTACACGGGAACGCAAATCGTGCCGGTGGTCTCCGTAAATGACGACGCTTTGGAGAAGAGAATATCGAGCGCCAGCGTTTATTATGCGCTTGTTGTTTCCATTTTATAGCACAGGATTGTCAATACGCTGCGCGCTGGTATATGTTAACTACTTGCGCTATACCACAATGGTTAAATCTTACTCTAGTTAAATGAGCCAGCATTTGTAGTTCCGCATTGTTTGACTAGTTTGCCAAGTATTTTTTTGTGTGTGAGAAATAAATCCTATTGCGCGAGGTTTCACCGCGACCGGTGTATCTCAGAGTATCATCAGCCAAGACAAAGGTAAGCAGATCAGAGGGGGTAAATTCCGAACCCCTCAGACTTTTCAAGTTCGCATGTCGATATATACATAGGCGTGTTATATACCGTGGTGGTTATGGAAAAGGCGTGACTTCACGTTATTTTCTAGCATACCATATATATATATATATATAATATATATATATATATATATATATATATATATATATATATATTCAGCGTTATTCAACGTAAGCAGTTCACCGAGACGTTGAGTCCGAGAACCGACGGCTTGTGCTTTTATACAGGAGCCAAGAGCAGGAGAGCTAAACTAAGGCACGTCGTCTTCTTCAGTCCCCCTTTTCACGAGGCTGTTGGCGCGCACATCTTCTTCGTTGGTTGTTTCGGGCGCGGCATTTGCCTCCCCTTAAAACAGCATCGCCCCGATGCTGTAGCTGAGCCAGTGATTCGCGCATAAAGTCACTTTGTAGAAGCGACGGTGCCTCGCAGAATCACTCGCTGATGTGTGGCTTAATGCGCACTACGTGCACAAGTTCAGGTCGGTGCTGGCGACGCCTTGTACAGTTTGGGCTATCCGGGACGACTTCATAGGTAACGTCACTTAGTCGTCACAGCACTCGATAAGGGCCGAAGTACCTTCTGAGCAACTTTTCGCATAAACCCCGTCTTCGTACAGGCGTCTACACCCATACCCTGTCCCCGGCTTCGTACGTTACAGGTGTATGACGTAGGTTATAGCGGCCTGCGTCGTACTCTTGCTGTTGGTATATTCGCAGACGTGCAAGCTGCCTGGCTTCCTCTGCGCATTGAGTAAACGCATCAGCACTCGTTTTGTTGTCATCGCATTCGTGTGGCAGCATCGCGTCCAACATCGTTCTTACTTCTCGTCCGTGAACAAGTCGGAATGGTGTCATCCGTGTGGTTTCTTGTTTCGCAGTATTGTATGCGAACGTTATGTAAGGGAGAATGTCGTCCCAGTTTTTGTGTTCGACGTCCACATACATCGAAAGCATGTCTTCCAGAGTTTTGTTGAGTCGCTCGACAAACCCGTTGGTTTGTGGATGGTAAGCTGTCGACTTGGGATGAATAGCACCGCTGAGCACCAACAAATGATCTAAAAGCGCGGCCGTGAATCTTCCGTTTCCGCGATCTGTTATAACGATTGATGGCGCACCGTGGCTCAGCACAATGTTCTCTATGAAGAACCGTGCTACCTCCTCTGCTGTGCCTCTCTGGATGGCTTTTGTCTCGGCGTAGCGAGTAAGGTAGTCGGTCACCACTATAACCCAGCGGTTACCAACACTAGAGTTGGGAAGTGGGCCCAAAAGATCCATTCCGATCTGGTCAAATGGCGTTGTTGGGATCTGGACAGGGTGTAGCAAACCGGCTCGTTTCGTTGGAGGTGACTTGCGCCGCTGGCAATCGAGGCAGGTCCGAACATGATGCTTCACGGCAGCGGTGAGTCTAGGCCAGTAATACCTCCCTCGAACTCCGCTCAGAGTGCGCGTGTAGCCTAAATAGTCCAGATGCTACCTCGTTGTGGCACGCTTGCAACACCTCAGAACGAAGAGTGGTAGGGAGGACAAGTAGGTAGTTGGACCCGTCTGACGAGAAGTTCATTTTGTAAAGGACATTGCTTCGCAGACAGAACGACAATAGTCCTCTTGTAAAGGCTTTGGGCGCATGCTGGCTTCGTCCTTCTAAATAATTATTCAAGCCAAGTAGCTCAGGATTGCCATGCTGGTGATCTGCGATGGTTGACGTGTCGAGGATTCCGAGGAACGCTGTCTCTTCATCAAAAGCAGCAGCCGACTCTATTGGTGATCGAGATAGGCAGTCGGCGTCCGTGTGTCGTTTTCCCGACTTATACACCATCTTTATATCAAAATCCTGTAGCCTAAGGCTCCAGCGTGGATATCACCCGGAAGGATCTTTCAGACTTGTTGTCCAACACAACGAATGGTGGTCACTGATAACCTTGAATGGGCGGCCGTACAAGTATGGGCGAAATTTATTAACTGCCCACACCACGGCCAGGCATTTCTTTTCAGTGATATTATATATATATATATATATATATATATATATATATATATATATAATGACAAACTCACGCACAAATGGCATACATTGTAGTAGAGCTCCGGGAAGAAATTTCTGGTGATAGCCCTGTCGCGTACGTTTTCTGCGACGATAACTCGTCGCGATTTCACTAGACGAATTTTGCAATACACTACAGAATCTTTCACTCACCTCCCAGATTTTCCGTGGTTCTATTGGCCACACAGGTAAGCTGATACGAAAAAAAATAAGATGTGCATCTCACACTCTTTCGGGCTTTCACAGAAGCCTTTACCCGCAAGAATAGAAAACGTTCCGCTACGCCACCGGGCTAGCGTGACCGACCGGCATGCCGCGGGTCATTAGGAGCGCAAATGGCGTTTCAGCACTATTCTTGCGGGGTGTTTTTTTTTCTTTTTAGCATTTGCTCTCAGTCTCTGCTAAATATGGAAACTGGCATACCGAACAATTCAGAAAGGTTAGGCACCCCATCGAACGCCAGCCGACGGACGCGCGGATAAACGAACGAAACAGGACCCCTATTTGCATTTAATGTATGCTGACCGAAGCACCAAAGCCTACAGTGAATTACCAACACAGTCTTGCAACGGCGAGGTTAAATTTCGGGGTAAGTCAAAGGCTATAGAAAAGAGAATTTTCTTAGAAGCTCAAAAACAAAAAAACTGAATTACAGCAAAATTCGAAAAGCGCTTTTGACAAGCGGGAATGTGAACATTTCATCCGAAGAACACAGGATGTATTGTAAAACTGTGTGCTAAACGCAGCTGATTGGAATGATTTCTGAGCGAGAACTACTGGCCGAACAGTGGGTATTCGTACTCTTGGTGCCGTCCATGGGCTCCTCTGTGTGCTCATATAATAATAATAATAATAATAATAATAATAATAATAATAATAATAATAATAATAATAATAATAATAATAATAATAATAATAATAATAATAATAATAATAATGTAAAACTTGTGCCACTACGTCAAGTAGGTCGATACTAACTATTGTATAAGCTTTCAAAATGAACAGTACAACAGCACTACGACTCTACCAACTAAGGTTGCATGGCAGGCCTATTGGTTATCTATGAAGTATCTAATATATAACGCATCTAGTACACATCTCTGTACCATCCGGGCTGCGATACACATCAGATACAATTCTATCACTACCATGCAACCTGGTAGCGATACTAGCTAAGGTACTCAGCTGCTGCCCCACAGGCCGCGAGATCGAATCCCGGCTGTGGCGGCTGCGTTTACGGTGGAGGCGAGAACGCTGTAGAACCGTGTGCTCAGATTTGGCCGCACGGTAAAGAACCCCAGGAGGTCTAAATTTCCGGAGCCCTTCAATATGGCGCCTCTTATATTCACATGGTGGTCTTGTACCGTTAAACTCCCCAATATCGATCATCAATCGCATCTTTAACGCATTAGGAGTTAGAAGTAAGTCCTTATGTAACAACTTGCTGTACTGATGATACTTCTTTCACGCTGTCTCAATAACTGCTTGCAGGAGTACATCACGTATATGTAACTTACCACCTCCAGAAGATCCAAAATATTGATGGGAGCCGACCGATGGAAACAACGTAGTGGAATAATCATAAGATGAACAGGTGAAATACCTCAAACTGGCTGTCCGACGTTTTGATAGGACGACCTATCGCGCCTTTGAAAAAGATAGGTCCTTTTATCGAAACGTCGGCCAGCCAGTCTGAGGCTCTTCACCTGTTAATCTTATGATTATCCCATCACCTCCAGAAGAGAGTTTTAGGCGAAGCTTTTCCACGCAGTTCAACTGGAATTCACATCAGTGGACGAATCGTACCTTTATGTCTGCCCGTTCTCAATGTCCTCCTTCTGGACTATTTCTGTATCCCAGATACAAAAAGTATTAGCATCTATAGTTTACCATTCAAAATTCACAATATGTTAATGAGGCAAGCCTGTGTGGCTGGTTACGGAAATCATTAACGTGCATTTCTACTGCGCACAGAGCACGGTCCTCAAGCATTTCCCCAATATAGGCCCGCAATTTTCGGGGCCAGCAGCCGGGATGCGCAAGCGCCTTCCACCACGGCAAAATAGTCAACTAGGAATAATTTCGGGTGCTGTCTGAGAATTCACTTTCGGGGGGTGTAAGGACGTCCTGGCGAGGATGTAGAAATACCTGTACTCAATCATTTTAGAATACAGCTTGCGCATCTAATTCTACAGAGAAGCGCGTTACATTTACCTACTTCTAAGCACGCATACTCCTCACCTGAAAGTGAGCACTGTGAGGGGCCGGTACGATTTGTGGCTTCGAGGATCGGCCATTGGTCGGCCCCAGAAATCGTTTATCCAAAGCGACGACGACGATGACGACGAAGATGCTGCATGCCGTCTACTCTCGCCGGTGACGTCGGGGTTGCCAACGACGGCCACCATGTCGTCGTGCACGAAATCGCCATCCAGCGAGTTCACGTAACACAGCACCGCCACAACACCGGCACACAACGCGGGCATCCACACAGCTAAAGGCCTGCGTGCCATGCCGACACACACTGGTTCATTGGCGGCACCAACTGCCCCGTCGCGTCTTTTTTGTGACTGTTGTTGCGTGAGGCGCGGACGTCTTTGGCAGTTGAATGATGATTGCCGCTGCTGGCGGTTGTCGTCCTCAACTGGTACCACACTCAGACTGGCCGCACGTAGTCTCGTAGAATATATAAAGTAAGAACGCATCCTCGTGATTACAGAAGCACATAGGGCGCCCAGCGACCCAGTCAGCGCACGCAGAGTGTCCGCAGTGCTCGTTGTTTTACTGCGACAACGTTTGTGCCATGTGTACGGTCGGCCGCATTTCCGATTGCCGTCAGAGTGATCCGAAAGCGCCGTCGCGGTGGATGCACTTGCAGATGACTCTAGGTAGGCGTGAAGCAGGGACGATTGCGCACCTCCGCTCAACCAGCCCCCTACAGCCATCCTCGGGATCCACACAACCAACGCCACACAACACAATCAAAACAGGCACGCTGTCGTCGCACTACTAATTCAAACAATACACTTGGACGGCGCTAGAGCAGTCGATGAACTACAGAGGCGCGCACACAAACAAAGCGAAAGCGTGGTGGGAAGATTCGTCACTTTTCGAAACACGTGGCAGCATCGGACGGCTTACTCCTGGCCGGCGGAGAGACTCGATGCGTATGTCCACTCACAATGGTCGTCTTGTGCGACACTCTCACAGTGACGCAGCGTGGTAATCCTCGGTAAATTCGTTCCAGAGACGCGATTGTCGGTCGGTACAGCAAATGAATGGTGGTAGACACCTTCGGTCCGTTTCCGTTTGGGGATGCGAACGCCTGACGACACATGCTTATCACAACAAGGGAACGAAGTGCACCGTGAGTAAAAGTTTAGAAGAGACTAAAAGAAAATCAAACAAAACGTAAACCTACTTGAATACTACTGGTACATCCTTTGGAACGCATGTCCCCGTGGACCCCTAAATGTTAGTTGAGCCGCACTGAAAGATACGCGACATTTTCGGTGCTCGCACCTGCACGCGAGCTCATCTGAAGCTACATCTTCCCTTTTCAGAAAAGTATGCACAACACCAAATCCATTCTCCTTATCCACCGACGGGACTGCGCATTGCAAAATTTTTATGCGGCGATCCCAGGCGCAGGCTTGGATTAAAATGAAGGATTCACAGTAAGCTGAGAGCACACGGCGCAACGAAACGCGAATTAGATTCACGCGAGCGCGATTGCAGAGCCGCGCGAGACCACCCTCGCTCAGAGCGTCCGGCGCACAAGGCACCCAGCAGAAAGGACTCACACGAACTGGACGTCCCTGCGAAACGGGAGACCCCTGGCGTGGATCCGCGCATGCTCAATGGAGGAGTGGTGCCGGCCCGTTCGATGCGTTCATTGGGCACTGCTGCCATCTACCGGTTGTGGGTTGGGGGTGCCGTAAAAACTCATCTTTTCGGAGCTCGGATTTGAGCCGCTGTTGTAAAGACCTCGTTCGAAGTAGGGCTGTGCCAATATTCGAGACTTCGAGAGTTGAACAGTTCGTGGTATATCCGATTTGGAAAGCACATTTATTATGCGATATACTCTAGACTTCATGACAAATAATGAAATCTGTACAGTATGCTTCATATGTGTGATAAATTGTGCCATCTTTGGTGCCCTAATATGCAAATTACTTTCCCTTGCCACCCCCCCCACTCGCTCTCTCTCCATCCCACGCAATGACGCTTCTGCAACTGTAGAACTTCCAACTGGCGTGGCCACAGCATCGCGTCCAGCATGTCAACGAGTAATAGAGTGTCTAGTTATACTAAAGAAAATAATCGAAATGAAGAGTCATTTGAAAACTTGATAGAAATGTCTGAAAATAACGAAACCCAGCGTTATTGCGGGTTATTATGTGTTAAAGCACCTGTAGTGAACAATGTGCTGCTCAGTTGTCATTGCTTCTCCCATTTGACAGAACATGCATAGAAGGTGGAATCGTGATTAGCGGATAAGTAGATCAGCCAGAAGTAGTGCGGATAGCTGATTTCATTGGCTGTGAGAATGGCACTTTTTTTTAGAAAATTGCCAAGCATCTATCCATCTTTCGTTACATCATTAAATCAACAGCATATGTGGTAGAAGTAATGTAGTGCAATCAATAGATGGATCAATAAAAGTTTATGGAATACCGGCAAGGCCTAACGCCATGTGGAGTTAGGTCTCCTTGCCTCCTTCGGGCAAACACGAATGCCTTGCCTCAACTTCCCGTCGCGGGCTTGCTGGAGTGCTAACTTATACATGGATGTGAGCTATCCAGAATGGCTGCCCAATTCGACAACAAGGTCGGGTAAATCATTTCGTGTACAAAAAACATGGATGTGAGCGGTCCAGCATGGCTGACCAACTTGACGACAGGGTCCTGTAAATTAATTACTCTAGAAAAAACTTATTTATTGATGTCCGGTTGACGAAAAATCAATATTTTAGCGAAATTCAGTTATTCTATTTGTTGCTGACTTTGTAGAAACTACATTAACAAGATTACACTAATTAAGGTATTAGCTTGATACAATGCCTTTATTAAAGTGAGTAATTTGAGAAGAATGACTGATTACGTTCTCAGTTACTTCTTACTACAATGTAGCGTGCCCGCTATTTCTTTTTTAGGCATAAGCAAATTGGTGAAAAAGGAAACAAAATAAAAGACGACTTATGGGATGGCGCAGCGTCAAGTTTGGAAAGTTGAACAAAGATTTCGGGAATTTCCTAGCATAAGCACTTTGAATGAATAATAGATGAATACATGAACAGGTGATCAACTTTGCGCACAACACTTTAGATAAATTGTGATGATTTTCAAGGGTAATGTTAACGTAACACCATTTCTTTAGCCGAAATACATCTCTAACATAACCTAATTACTCTTAAAGAGTAATACTGCCATCTCTCTACTGTACTAGGGGAAGGCGCAGAACCTGCACAGCCAGGGGTGCCGCGAAAGCTCGCTGAATATGCATGAATTACGGCACGCTCGCCAGGCCGGCTCTGTAGCGGTGTTTGCGTTCGAGAAGTATCTGCGAGGGCTCCAGAAAGTGCCAGCCTCCTGTAGCTAGGGCACCGGTAGAGTTGTATTTCGCTCGCTGTATTCGCGCAAATCGACACGCTGGACGTTCATATCAGATGCAGGGTTGTCCTTGGATGGAATTGAAAAGACGCCAGAACTCGATCTGAATGTATACGCAAAGTAGCAATATCAGTTAACATCATCGTCGAATTTGTACCCAGATCGAACAGCAGCGCTATTGTGAACACAGTCCTTATTACTGAAGGGAAAATAATCTATTTCGAATAAGAAAGACAAGGGATTTAAAAGCAGCCAGGAATTAGCCATGGCGCCAACAGAAAATTTTATGGGCCAAACGGGTCAAAAAGTAGCCAAGTTGGCGCAAAGTAGACACCAACGGCATCCCTGATCCGATGTAACCAGCCTTGCGGAATGAAAACAAGATACGTCTATACAAAGTAAGTGTTATGAAAATACCAAACAAATAAAAACGAGAGCGACAAAAAAGCCGATATAAATAAGGGCATTCAATGTTATTGATTGATTGATTGAATGATTGATTGATTGCTTATGTGGAGTTCAACGTCCCAAAACCACCATACGATTATGAGAGACGCCGTAGTGAAGGGCGCTCGAAATTTAGACCACCTGCTGTTCTTTAACGTACACCCAAATCTGAGCACACGAGCCTACAACATTTCCGCCTCCAAGGCATTCATATATAGGTAAAGAAGTATATACCAAATATATTGCTATTTGATATTATGGAACAGACGCAGCTTATGTTTCTGCTTCACGTAACTCTTACATTCAACACAGCACTTCTATAAACCTTTTTCATAATTTACAAGTGCACTAAACTTCACTGCATGTTTACACAAGTAATGGTGGCACCTGCTATGCTTTAAGCGAAGACGCGTTCCTAGTTGACCATGCTGAACATTTTGAACATGTTGTTTATTATGAGTGTTTGAATCAAGAGAGGCAACTCAACATTGTCTACGTCATTGCGTAAGTAAACCGCGCTCGATCAGGATATTTTCACTAAATGACAAACCGCCTTTAGTTGTTGAAACAGCATAGCAGAAAAGCTAACTTTACACTTTCGAAGAGGGGCTATAGGTGTACTTAAAACAGCAAATTACTTTGTGGGTTTATATCCACCCTTCAAAATTTTGTCACCTTTTTATGTTATGCCTAATGGCTTTTTGTTGTTCTACTAGAACATGAGTTTTGCTGTAACATTACAGATAAGGCTAATGAACCTAATTTATATTAGTTATCTTTGACGGAAGGTTCCCCGAATATTTGAAGCTGTAAAAACTTCCTGTATGTTTACTTTGTATAGTGGTTTGTACTAACACACGAAATACGCTCTATTTGATTTCAATAGCACAAGCTTCTGAAAGTAAACAAAAAAATCAAAGTGAAAGCCGGAAAAGCGAATACTAGTTTTAATAGTCTCCAACAAGCAGTAGGGGGAGATTGATATTCATTGAAGGTAGTGAACATGAAGACATGTTCGTTTCATTCGCGTTCTGCAAACCTTCGTAACGGCCTGAGATAAATGGGGCGAGAGGCATCAGCTCCGAGAAGCTGGCTATTTAGCTCGAAGCTGTATGAGCTGTTTATAAAGTGATATGGCGGAAACATAGAAATGCAAAGCAATGAACGTGCTGCAACGTTTTTTTCGAAGACACAAAGATTGTGACCCCTACTGAGCAAACTAAGTTGAAAGTGAGTGGCTAATTGAGAACTTTTGGGCTCACCGATGTAGGACTTCGACTATGTGGATATGTTATTGTGTTTTGTTAATTTTTTTCGTAACAATGAATTGTAAAGGATTGCCAATATTTTGTGACAAATCCTCAAATTTTATATCAATAGAGAAGAGGGGAAATAATCAATGCACACTAAGGAAAGTAAAATCGAATAGGAGAGAAATAAACGAATAGTGAATG